AATGTATAATCTTATATGACTTGATTATTTTTCCTGTAATTCCTGATAAGGAATCAAGAACAGAACAAACAAGACCAAAACAGTTTCGGTGACCTAATTGCCCTTGCTATTGTTTCGATACCGTGTAAGACGTAGCGCCCCAGGAGACTGGAGACTGCCGAGGATTAAGTTTTAGAGTTAGTTAATGGTTGTCTATTAAGTCCCCCCCCACAGAATTCTATTGTTGTTAACATGTATTTGCTCAATAAATACAAAGGGTGCCCTCTCAGCACCACTCTTGCGCTGTTAAGCCTCGAGTCCCCTGGCTGGTCCTTTCAGATCTTCGATATCTCATCGTGTCTCCTCCCTTATTTGCGGGTCAGAAGCAGGGAGGGACCGACAGACTTCTTTTCATGAAATAGGTTTAAAATCATGTGCCTTCTCTGATCTTTTAGTAGAAGCTCCCCAGAGCACTATGTGAGCGTATTTTGAAGCCAGATCCAGGATAAGCAGTGAAGAATTCTCTGTCTGACGGGCTAAGTGTGCCATGGTCATGGAGAGCGCTGCCTTTTGTGCAACATGATTTTATTTCTAACTTGAACCCTTCTTGAAACTAAAGTACAGCCTGTTCTACCTCTAGGGTTAAGTTCCAAAATTTTCTACTCATTGTTTAGTAAAAGTAGCACAGGATGGAGAGTCACAAGACTTGAGTTTGAATTCACTGCTTAATAGCTATATGAACTCAAGCCAGTTTTTTAAAATCTCCCTGAACCTGTTTCTTAGCCTCCGTGTCCGCCCTACTACCTTCTTACTTCACAAAGATGTCACAAAGATGAGTTGTCTTTGAAGTTGTCTGCAAATGCTAAAGCATAATGTAGCCACAACACATCTAACTGTAATTTATTAGTCCTAAATCTCTTTCAAGCTTCAAGAGGTTTTAGTATTGTGAGATGTGATGATCAAGTGCTTAAGTACATAAGAACACAAATTGTCATATCTCATCAGAACCATGGTTCATTAAGCCCAACATTGTCACTGGCAGAAAAACTCAAAGGTATATGGAAGACCATAGTTATTGTCCTTGATGTCAACTTCAAAGGACAGTGGCAAAGCCCAATGTCTTCTAATTTCATTTTGTAATCCATTATGACTTTATCCTGCATAATTTCATCTATCCATTTAGCAACTTGTGCCCTTTTCTTCTCTATGTTTGGAGTAGAGCTTTATCTTTTTATTTCTGGGCTTCCTGCATTAGCCTTTTTCAGATTTCAGGGGAAAGGGACTCACTGTAGAGCTTTATAAAAAAAAAAAGAAAGGAAATCCAGGAATCTGTCCCAGCAGCTGCACTTACAGGCTTGGTGAAGAATCTGAATATAGCTTTTTCTCTTTCAGAACATAATTAAACGATAGCCACCGAGGACTCACCAGATGGCAAGGACTGCCTGATACACTTGATATAAATGATCTCCTATAAGTGCACAACACGCTGTGAGGCAGGTTTTATCATTTTCACATGTGTAAAATGAAACAGGCTGAGGAAGTTGCCCAAGTCTGCAGGGCCGGTAAGGGTATTCGAATTCAAAAGAGTCTAGCCCTGGAACGTGTTCTTCCCTACTTGCTATCTCGGTTTCCTTAGGTCATCCAGTCAAAAGCATTTCTGTCATGATGTTACCAAATGCTGACTTGGTGTTTACTTCCAGGTTCCTGCTTTCTGTCGCTGACCTCCGTTTGTGCCTCTTAATTAAACACATTTCAGGGGAGAGAATATGATTAGGTCTATTTGCCACTCATCAGTATGGAATCCCCTCCCCACTCTCCCACACTGGATGGGGTTCTCATGACAAGCCTCCTCAGCTCCTTTACACGGCTGTCTTGCAGGTTCCTGACTCTTGTCAGCTGGGATGGCACAGGATGGCCACACGACACAAAGCCAGGCTTTCCAGAGGAAGGCCTGTGGGCCTGGCAGGCAGTAAGAGGTTTTTGGACCATCCAGTCTTGCTCAAAATGCAGAACTACCTCCTGAATACAGGAGTTAGTAACTCCTGTCTGTGTTCATCATCCCCTTGCTGTTTGTGAAATCAGACTTCAAGGACTCCTTCTCCCTTGCCTTTTCTGACTGAAGAGCCCTTATTCTCTCTCCAACATTTTTCTGGTCTTTTCTAGTTCTATCACGAATTTATTCAGGTATAGAAATCAGGACCATCCATATTTTTTCCCAGTCTGAATGCACCAACGTTTTGAAGAAGACAGGATAATCTTTCTTTTTTGCTTATAATATCTTCATGTTGAAGCCCCTCAAAATAAGGTCTAATTTCTTTAACATGTCATAAAGACCATAAATGGCCCAGCCCCAGTGGATCTTTCTAGCATCATCTATAGACACTTCCCTATGTACAAGCCTTATGGGAGAACCAATCCCAATTGCCAGAAAGTGGCATTTTGTAATCTAAAGTCCTCATACCATAGCTCAGGCTGTTTTTTCCTGCCTGAAAGGTCTTCTGCATAATACCCCATCTGTTTAACCAGGTATTATGATAGAGTGGTTAAAAGGATGGACTCTGGGGTCAGATAATTACAGATTAAAATTCCAATACTGTTTGGCAAATTTCTTAATCCCTGTGAAGCCTTAGTCTCCTCACCTGTCAAGTAGGGATAATTACACTTACCCCCGTGGTGGGTCCTTGAATCAGAGGATGCACATGAAGTGGTTCCTCCGGTGCTTGGCAATAAGGAAACGCTCAGTGAACAGAAGCCCAGCTCTGACACTTCTGCTTTTCCTGTCCTTTGCTCTCCTTTAACTGGTGCCTTCCATTCCCCCACCCACTTCCCAGACAGTGGTCACTTTTTCATCTGGCTACCACAACACCTTAGACGGAGAAGTGACAGGCCCATACTCCAAGATGTCAACCATTTTCACTGTGCAGTTTTAGTTCCCTAACTGCCCAGCACTCTACTCAAACCGCTAGTCTTTTTGTACCAATATTTCAGGAAAAAGATGACAGCAGAAAACAGTAAAACTTTTGGTTTTACAAGTCCAGCCACTTAGGGAATCAGAAAGAAGACATGGATAGACCTGGGGGCAAATGTTGAGACCTTGGGGCCGGGCAGGTGCACTGAAGGCAGGATTGCAGGGATTGTGGTAGCTGTGATCTAAGGGCTGCCACCACTCAGCACCTCCCATTGTTGCCATGTAGGACTCTGGGACCATCACTACCTGATCCATCTCTTTTCAAGAGAAACTACAGTCAGGATTTTTAAAAACATAAAATATTTTGAATTTATTATCATGCACTGCATTTTTTTGTTCGAATTATTTGTTCAGGAACAAACAGTGGGGTAGAACCTGGGAATACAAACAAGACGGTCCCTGTTCCAGGAGCTCCCGGGATGAAGGAGAGCTAGACACATGAGCAGAGGATATGGTATTGAGTGATAAGTCTTATGTTAGAGACTGATTCCCCAAGTGTGATCACTGGGCCAACAGGATCAGCATCTGAGAACTTATTGGAAATGGGAATTTTCCGGCCCAGCCCAAACCTACTGAATCAGAAAGTTTAAGGTTGCTTTAACATGCGCTCCAGGTGACTGAGGTGGATGCAGAAGTGGAGAACCAAATGGATAGTGGAAAGCAGTAAGTCAACACACCAGAGCCAACCTTGAGATCTCTGCCATCTGAAAATTACTTTACAATCCCTTCCAGGCTACTAAGTAGGTTGCTTTCTGCTAATTCCAAAGGATGATACAAAAGCATATCTGTCTCTTTAAGTAAAGTGTAAGGTCTTCAAAAGTAGGGTCTAACTCTTCTCTTTTTCTTTTTCCTCCTATTTTCAGATATCAGAACAATAGTCAGACCATACAGGCATTGACATTTACTTGAAGTAGCTGATTCAGAAGTTAGACTAATCTGGTGCAAGGATTATACATTCACAATGAGAAAATGGCAAATACTTCTTTAGAAACTTGTAATTTACTGTGGCAAAATACTTAAGTTTTGCCATTGTAACCATTTAAAAGTGTACAGTTCAGTGGCCTTAAGTACCTTCATACTGTTACGCAATCATCACCATCATCTATCTCCAGGATTTTTGCATCTTCCCACACTGAAAGTTGTTGGTATCTTTTGTGTTTTTTTTTCTATTGGTTTGTATGTGTTCATTTTAAACTAAGGGTATCAATCCTTTGTCTTCTGCTAACTTGTTTTTAAAGAGCTTTTTTCATGGTGACTTTAAAAGTTCTGTTCAGAAACTTAAATTTCTCATGGAATCATAAAAGTATGGTTAGAATTATACTATCACACCTATGAATATTTTATTTTAGTATTTCTGATTGTGTTCCCATCCTTAAAGGCTTTCACCAATGTTATGAATATTTTCACTTTTTCCTTCTAAAGTCTTATTAGCATTTAAATATTTAATCCATATAGGATTTACTTAGATGGATTTTTTTTCCTAAATGGCTAATCAGCTGTTCCAATATCATTTACTAGATATTCCATCTTTACCCTACTAATTTAAAACATTTTACTAATTTAAAACATTTTACTAATTTAAAACATTTTTCACACTAAATTTCTCCACCTGCAGGTATTATTCCTGGGTCTCCCTATCTAGTCCTTTTAGGATATAACACTTTTAGTCACTTCCTATTAATGCTGCTCTGCTTTCCAGTTAATTCCTCCTCACTTGATGGTCATTTTAATGGTTGTATACTCTGTCACATGCAAGTACCATATTTTTACCAGGCATTTGGTAAGTTTCCTGGTTTTTCATTCAATACGTGTGATTTTGGATTGAGTTAAATGAATTCTCCCTCGGTGGCTTATGTGACGCAAATTGTTCGTTTCCCCTCTTTAAAAAATTATTTTAAAATTACAGTCTATATTTGCTTTACTGGGATAACTGGCAGTGAATCTGTTGGGATTTAGGATTACCCGGGCGATACCTCCGAGCGATACCAGGGGGCGCAGTTTTCCACTTTCCCCGCAGTCACATCCGGGTTCCACCGCAGATTCGGGCTGGGAGAAGGCGGAACCTTTCTGTCGCGCCTCCAATTAACCTGCGCAGTGGGGATCATTTAGGTCTGCGCGCAGCCCTTGTGCTGCGGTTTGCTTGGGGCAGCAAAGACAGTAGTGAGTCTAATCGCTTCTTCCTTCGTCGTGAGCAGCATGGATGTGCTTGCGGAGGAGTTTGGGAACCTGAGCCGGGAGCAACTGGCTGCGCCCATCCCGACTGTAGAGGTGAGGGCTGGGCACGCGGGGCGCGGAAGGGAGGGACCCGCTCTCAGGAGGCGTTGCCCGGAGGGCTCCGGCGGCAGCGGGGGGCGGGCCGCGGCTTCCGCGCATGCTCAGGGCTTGGCGTGCTGGTCCTCCGGGCCGACCACCGCGTGCGCGAGGAAGGGCCGAGCCCGGAGGAGGTCGCCCCTGCAGTGCGAGGGAGCATTCCCGCGCACTGCCCTCGGCTTGGACCCCTCCCAGTGTTCGTGTCTGTCAGGGGAGGATTCGTTCGCACACCCGCCTTGGGGGACGTACCCCATTTTTGTGGGCTGATAGAGGACACTTAGGTTCCGGGATCTTGGGCCACTTTTGTGAGGTCTCACAGCTCGCTGTGTTGGTAAAACTAGACCGTCCGAATCCCAGGCTAGTAAATCTTTCCTCTTAACCTGCTATTCAAGTTTGGGCTGCAAGAGTATTTTAAATGCCCTGAAAATTTACTCAAAATTTTGTCTAGGTGTTTAACGGGGAGTAGCCGCGTAGCTTCCATCAGATAAGGGAAACTAGAGCTGCATAATGAAGTACAGCTGTTGACATAATTTTAGTTTCTGGAAAGGCATGTCATAATCTCTCTAGGCCTCAAAACCTTCATTGGCATGGAATGGGGAAGTGGCAATCAAGGGAGAGATTGCAGGTGGAAGGAAAAGGACACTTCAACCCCGGTAGGCAAGACTGATGTTTTCGTGGAACTAAAATCTAGTAGTACTAGAGTGAGGAGAAGTGGAGAAAAGGTGAAAGATGAAGGATAGGTAAAGGTCCTGATACGGAGGTTCTGTTGGATAATGGAACAGCGATGAGATGCTATGAGGGGTTTAAGCCGGAGAGTGGCACCGTCAGTGAATCTATTGGATTATAAGAACCTCTTTCCAATCATTTGGAAGATTAATAAAGTCGAGTTATAATTAGTCCATCAGATTCAATCTACGAGTACCTGCAATATCCTGCTGATCATCGTCAGGAAATACTGGATTTTTAACTCTTGAGGAGTTAACATTAAGAGCCAGCATTTACTGAGCACTTACTATGTACCAGGCTCTGTTTAAGCCTAACTATGCATTACGTTATTTCATTCTCTGAAATAAGTACTACTTTCACCCTACTTTGCCAGTGAAGATATTTGAGGCTGAAAGAAATGAAGTAACTAACCCAGTGTCATGAGGCTGTTAAGGGGCTGATCCGGACTTTGGACTCTGGATGTCTGACTCTAGTCTTCATAGTAACTGCTGACTGGACTGCTTCTCCGGAGAGCTAACGGAATAAGCCCAAAGGATTTATACATCTTGCCTGAATTTGCACAGCTGTCAAGGAACCGGAACCACAATTCCAGTCTTCTGATTCAGGAATAACAGTTCCTGTTCCTGGCCCTCTGCATCTGATCCACCATCACATCTTAAGGGCCCTGCCTACTAAATGCATTTAAGTCTGAACCTTCATTCCCACTGTTCTCCAAGTCTGAACTGCTGTCATCTCCTAGTACCAAGGCTCTTACTTGTCTCACTCCAATCTGTTCTCTGCTCTGTAGCCAGAGGCATCAGTTTAACAAATATGATCACGTTGCTCCCTTGGTTAAAATCAAATCTCTGCCCCCTTGCTCTTAGGGCAAAATCTCCCTCCCTGGACACTCCTTCTTTATATTCTGCCATGTGTGTAAGGCTTTCCTCAGTCTGGCCTCTTTCCCCACATTCCCACCTCATCCTCATCCAGCCCTAATATCACTATTTTATTCAGATAGTTCCTTCTGGATTTTTCTCTCATTTCTCTTTGTAGGCTTACATACAATAGAATGCATAGATACTAAGTGTTCAATTATATTAGTTTTGACTGTTACATATACCCAAATAACTACTGCTGAATTCAAGGTACAAAACATTTTCAGTAACCCTGGAAAGTTCCTTTATGAACCTTTTGAGTTTACCCCCTTACACCTTTTGATTTCTATCATCCAAGAATAGTTTTGCCCTAAACCCTTTTTTTAAAAAATAAACTTAATTTCTTTTAGAACAATTCTAGGGTCACAGCAAAATTGAAAGGAAGATACAGAGATTTTTCCATCTAACTACTTCCCCACCTCTCTTTCCTAATTTCTTTTTCCTCAAGGTTGTCTGCCTCCCTCCCTGGCCACTCCTTCTCAGCTTTCTTTGCTGGATCTGCCTGCTGCTCCTCATCTCTAAATGCTGGAGTGTTCTTGGTCTCATGTCTTATAACTCCTCCCCATCCACACTCCTTACGTGATCTCATCCATTACATAGCTTTGATTATGCATTTGCTGACCTCTTCCTAATTTATATCTCCAGGCCACTCTTTTCCCAAGTTTCAGACTTGTGTTTGTTGTCTGACATCTCCACTTGAACATCTAATGGATATCTCAAACTTAACATGCCCCCTTCCAAAATCCAAACCCGAACAGCTGCTCCAGCTCTGTCCCCAGCTCCTTGACCTACAGGTGGTACCAGTCTTGAGCCCTCTTTCTCAGAGTCTCCACCTGATCTATGATTAAGGCCTGTGGGCTCTAACTTCAAATTGTGTCTCCTTGCCAGCAAGTTCTCACTACCTGTACTGTTAGCAGCCTGGAAAATTGCAATAAACTCCTAAATGGTCTCCCTGCTTCTAGCCTTGTCTGTTTTCAACCCACCAGCTAGAGTGAGCCAGTTAAAACGAGTTACTATCACATCATTCTTTTGCTCAGCACCTTCCAGTGCTTTCTGTGTCACTCAGAGTGAAAGTCAAAGGTTTTGCACTTGCTTCAAGGGCCTATGTGATCCATAGGCCCTTTGTCAGAAACTGTATTCTTGCTTTATACTCGTTTCTGACCATTTGTCAGATTTCCCTTTAGCAGATTAGATGCCATATGTGAAAGGAGGCCTATCTTCTTAGGCCACTTATAACCTAAAGAAGGTATGAAAAGCCCACGTAAGAACTAGGGAGGTGTGTAAGTTTGTAGCTATTCAGTGTAGAAGAAGAATGCCATGTGTGCAGTGCTGCAGCCCCAAGACGAGCTCTGACCAGACAGTAGTTGAGAAACAATCGGAGGGAGAAAGACCTCGCCTTGGGTCAAGAGACCCAGCTTCCCCATGACTCTGGGACTCACTTTCCCTTTCTTAAACTGGCAAACCCTGCTTACTCAGCTAATGTCCTGAAAATAAAATAAAGTATGAACATTGCTTGAAACCTTGAGTCATCAAGAAGAGATTAAGTTATGCTTTATTTATATGCATGTGTGTATACATATATTGTGTGCACATATGCACACACATGATTTCTATAAAAGTGGGAAAATTCTTAAATATTTTTGTTTTGATTTTCTTTTGCTTACTTTGATAAAGTAAGTCATTTTTGGTGCTTCAAAAAAACTTCTTATAGAAATATTGTGGTTGCTAGCACAGAGTTCTGATACTCCTGTTGTTTTGGTTCACAGGAAAAATGGAGGCTGCTTCCAGCATTCTTAAAGGTAATTGTTTAACACATAGTAATAGTTGGTTAGTTTTTCAAATGAAAAATGTCAAGAAATACATATTTTTTAAAAGGTTAAATGTCTATACCAACTAACTTTGACTTTGTACGGCTATGTACCTTGCTGGTTTCTGGAAGTACAAGGAATTGTAAGGCAGCATCCCTGATGATAAAGGGCTGCTGAGGGGGTGGTAATCTAATTTTGGAGAAAAGAATGATGGCTTGGTGGTCACAGAACACCTCCCAAACTGAGACCCTAAGCTACATTTTAAGAGAAAAGGATTTAGCTAAGCTGAAAAGTAGGATGCAGAGAGCATGGCTTGATAAAGGTGCTCAGGTGGAGCCTCCTTGGGGTCTGAAGGGAACAGTGACCAGGCTGTTTGGCTGGAATGGAAGAGTGGGTAGGCAGAGGAGCTGCTGAATGTGAGCTTGGTGTAGGGCTTCAATTCCATTTTAAAGAGCTTTTGCTAAGAAGCCGGAGCATCACAATGACAAACCAGCTGGTACCCTCTAGGATGGTTATAATCAAAAAGAAAGATAATAACAAGAATTGACAAGGATGTGGGGAAATTGGAACCTCCATGCTGTACTGGTGGGATGATTAAATGTTGTGGCTACTTTGTACAACAGCTTGGCAGTTCCTCAGACGGTTACATGTAGAGTCACCACATGAACCAGCAATTGTACTCCTAGGTCTCTACTCAAGAGATATGAAAACACATGGAAACTTATACACAGATGTTTCCACTATTTGGAATAGCCAAAAAGTGGAAACAACCAAATAAACATCAACTGATGGATGGTTAAATAAAAGATGGAATATCCATACAGTGGAATATTATTTGACATAAAAAGAAATCAAGTGCTGATACTACAATGTGGATGAGCCTTGAAAGAATTCTGCTAAGTGAAAGAAGGGAGGCTTGAAAAATACGTAGAGTTTTATCCTACTTTTCCTTGTGTTATAGGCAGAGGGGAGGGTGCTCGGAGATGATGTGGAGGAGGTGGTCAGGGCCAGATTTCTGATTGGGTTTGAAAGCTATGTTAAGGATTTTGGCTTTTCTTCTAACAGCAATAGGAAGCTATTGAAGAATTTTTAAGTAGAGGAATGATCAAGAATGAAATAAACTAAGATCAAGGGGAGGTGTCTTTTTAATTACAACTTTTTTTCCCAAGGAACTATATATAAATATATAGGCATAAGAGGAGGGGTGGTATCTGTGATTCAGAAAAAAGACAGCTGATGACACACAAAGAAGAGAGCATTCAGTAGCAATGTAAGACTATAGTTATTTCATTCATTCATTCAGAGTTGGTATTCTCCTTTATTCAGACCACCTTAAATTTATTTGTTCAAGAACAGAAGTATAAAGCTTTAAATACATAGCTGAAGATGGAACACACAGCTTGTAAGGCTGCCAGTGCTGCTGGCTAACAGAATCAAGACTGAATGTTAGGCGGGCATAACAACAGCAAAGAGGGACAAATGTAAATCCCTTTACTTAGTTTTGCACAAGTATCCAAATCAGTAGTGTTTGACTTAATAGCATTGTCTTGTAGATAAAAATTACCCGTTGAGTTTTAGTTGATGAGGCCAGTAATGTGGCCTTGGCTTTCTAGTAGCAGTAGTATAACATCCAGAATGAGGGAGGTAGTAGCCCCACTGTACGCTGGTCAGACTGTTGAGAACATTGTCAGTGAGGTCAGCATGCCCGTGTTAAGAGGAACATTGACAGCCTGAAGCATGCTCAGGGGCAGGCCATCACTTGCTGAAGGTTCTGGAAGGCATGCAAGTCAGAAATGGTTGAAGGGCCTTTCACCCTGGAAGTGAGACCAAGAAGGAGAGAAGTGGTAACTAAATGGCCTGTCCTAGAGCAGGAATTTTCTCCTGAAGAGAAAATTAAGTCCAAGGTTGGAATCTGGAAGAAGGAAGACCTCATATTATTATAAGGTTGAATTTCTTCCCCAGCAATCAGGACTGCTTCTAAATAGGATGGTTGCTTTTGTAAGCCAGTGAGATCCACAATAAGGAAGTGTAATTACAGCAAAGGCTCTGTGATTTTCTGTTAGGAATGTTCTAGAAGTGTTGAACTAATTGCGCTTAAAGATCAATATTTAAAAAAATGAACACATACAGTCCTTGTAAATCCTAAGGTTTTGGAGTCTGTGTTTATTGTTTCTGTGTTTTCCATAGCAGCACACAGGTCTATGTATGTATCATTGTTACTGACTTCTGAGATGGAAGGGATGTCACTGCCAGCTGGTATCTGATCTTAGCTTCCCTGAGCTTCCCCTGGTTTTCAATATCAAATGCAGTTATTTTCAGTTTTCTTAATAGAGGTAATTTTTTCCCCTTGTTCTTCTGTAAGTGATATGAATGACCAGAGTTTGGATATGTGAAAATCATGAAATTGCCCCATTCAAGAGAAGGCAAAAAGAAAATTCATATTATTTGTAAGTTGAAGAAATAATGCTCAATTGCTCAATTTTTTCATTTTTTGTAAATTTAAAGTATGCAGAGAAAAATACTGCCTTATTTATTAGCTTATGGGGAGTCATTAGGTATAGTCACATACTCACCTTGAATTGTAAAGGTCAGATTGATTGTCATGGTAGAAAATTTGAGGGTGTATTAGTAAGATGGAGGAGACATGGAATGAGGTCACATAAATATAAAATTTTACTAAATAAAATTCATGGATTTTTTTCTTTGGTTTTGAGAAAAATCTGATAATCATCTATGGTTAAGGTCTTACATAATCTGCTACTTTGCTAACCTACTTTTAATTTTTATCTGTTTAGGTGAAAGGCCTTGTGAAACAGCATATAGATTCCTTTAACTATTTCATTAATGTAGAGGTAAGCATCAGATCTTAGAACTAGACATAGATAAGAATTAATTGGCAGAGTCTTTCCTAATGTTACTCTTTCCACTGCAGATAAAGAAGATCATGAAAGCCAATGAAAAGGTTACAAGTGATGCTGACCCCATGTGGTACTTAAAGTAAGGAATCAATTGCTCTTAATTTTCTGCTTTGATTATGTCTAACATTTTTTTAAAGTGAATGTAGCTGCTATCAAAACTTTTAAAACAATTTCTTTTTATCTCTGATAAGATAATTATCAAGTGCTTAATTTTTAATTGTCATTATCAAGTGCTCAATTTTTAATTGGCAAACTAATTATAACAAACAGAGTTATGATTGAGAAGTACTGAAATTAATGGGTTTAAAGCTATTTTTTAACAATTTAAGACTTCGAGAAAAATTATCACAATGGCACACAAGAGTTCCCCGATTATCCTTTACCCAGCAACTAATATTGACATGTATATGTGTTTTATATGTATAAAACCACACCACAGTTAGCAAACCAAGGAAATCAGCACTGATACAATGCTGTCAGCTAATCTCTAGATCTTATGTAGTTTTCCCACTGATGTCTTTTTCCTGGTCCAGGATTGAATCCCGGACCCCACATCAATTTAGTTGTCATGTCTCCCTCGTCTCCTCCTGTCTGTGACAGTGCCTCATACCTTCTTGGTCTTTCATGACCATGACACTTCTGAAGAATTCTGGTCAGTTGTTTTGCAGAAGGTCTGTGATTAGGGTTAGTATGATGTTTGCTCATGATTAGATTGGGTTATGCATTTTTGGCAAGAATACCACAATAGTGATGTATTGTGCCATTCTCACTGCATCATATATGGGGAACAAAATTCAGTATATTTTATTATTGGTGATTCTAACTTTTCTTTTTTACTTGGTTAAGGTGGTATCTTCTAGGTTTCTCCACTATGAAGTTCTATTTTTCCTTTTGTAATTAATGAGTATCTTAATAGGGAGATCCTTTGAGACTGTGCATGTATCTTACCCACTAATTTTAGCATACATTGATAGCTCTTACCTGTAACAGTTTTGTGGTGTTTACCTAATGGGGAGTCTCTATTTCCATCATTCTTTCTACATTAATGCTGGAATTCTACTGTAAGGAATAGCTTTTTCTTCCCCTCATGTATCTCTCTGTAATTTTTTATATCAATATGAATTCATGGATATTAATTTTATTCTATGGATCATAATCCAATATTATAATTGTTTCATTGCTCAGATTGTCCCAGTGTTAGCCATGAAAGGTTCTTCAGGTTGATGCCTGTGTTCTTTCAACACACCCCTGCTAATTTTCGAGCACTCCATTACTTTCTCATGCTATGTGATATGATGCATCTGGTATTTTCCTTGTCCCAGCCTGGGATCAACCATTTCTCCAAGGAGCCCTAGTCTCTCCTATTGGAGAATACAGTGTTTAGAAACCAAAACACGCGTACTAATGCCTCAGTAGATAGTTAGGATATGTATATATGTATATATCCACTAACACATGCAGAGACCCTGTTATATTTCTTCATTCTATCCACTTTTATGTATATTAAAAACCATGCATACTCATACCTCCTCTTCTGATCCAACTCCACAGGATTCATTCTAACTAACCTCTCTTTCTTTATTTGTAACTTGTATTCCTGACATTGAGAAACTTGGCTCTCAGTATCCGCACTGTATCTATCTACTTATTTATTCGATATGAGAATATACATAAATTAGTTTCAGAGTTGCTAATTCATACCTCTGAGAATAAAATTTACTGGAGTACAGTATTTGCATACTGCTTTTCATCTTTATCTTTACAGTATCCAAGTAAGATACTGTTTCTCAAAGTTACTTGGGTTAGTTGCTTTCTTTCCCACCTTGTCAGTGCAGTTATGTTACTCACTTATAATGCGGTAAGGTTTGTATTCCATTTTGGGTAAACCCCCTGACCACATCTTGGTTGATTTTATATGAGTTTAGTTTTGGGGAGATATGATTATGTTGTAAGATTTAGACCAATAGAAACAAGGATATTCAGGAAATTGTTGCTCCCCTTCCAGTGTGCAGACACACACAGCATATACAGATGGCCTCTGACTTATGATGGTTTGACTTATGATTTTTTAACTTTACAACAGTGCAAAAGTGATACACGTTCAATAGAAGATCTTTTCCTAGGCTAGTGATGTGCTGGACATTCCTCTTATGATGCTGGACAGGGCAGTGAGTCCCAGCTCCCGGTCAGCCATGCAGTCACCCTGGCAAACAGCCCATATGCTCAACCGTTCTGTACCCACACAACCATCTGCTTTTTACTTTCAGTACAGCATGCAGTAAATTACATGAGATAGTCAACTCTTTATTAAATGAGCCTTTGTGTTAGATGATTTTGCCCAACTATGAGCTAATGTAAATGTTCTGAGAACATTTAAGGTGGGGTAGGCTAGGCTGTGATGGTTGAAAGGTTAGGTGTATTGTATACATTTTCGACTACAATATTTTCAGCTTAATGATGAGTTTATTGGGATGTAACCCATTCCTCTGTTGAGGAATATCTGTGTATTTTTTCCCCGTATATCCTTTCATACAGGAATGGCAGCATATTATAATACTTTTTTTGCACTTTGCTTTTTTCATTAAGTATCATTTTTAGGGAGCTGTATTTCCAGCATTTTTGTGAAGAGATTTATAGTATTTTCTTAAAACATACTTTGATTGATAGTATTTTCCCTCCTTTATAAAGCTATATGTGCTATTACTTCAAGAAGATCTCCAATTATAATTTTTAATTAGTCATCCTTAGCAAGATCAGTATTTGTTAAAGTATAATCCTTATATTTTGGAGGAAAACAGCTTATTTGGTTCTATGTTCTTTGAGGAAGTATAATTGGTAATAGGATGATTTGCTTTTCAGGTATCTTAACATCTATGTTGGGCTTCCTGATGTTGAAGAAAGTTTCAATGTAACTAGACCAGTGTCCCCTCATGAGGTAATTAGCAACCCTACTTTCATTGAATTTGTTTGTTTTCACTCAGTTTGTGTCCTTAATACATACTCTCAAAATAGTTTAAAAACAGGGAAAAAAATATTTCTTACGAGACAAAGATAATGAAATGAATAAGAATTTGTATAATAACTATATTATACTATATTAGGAAACAGTTCTGCACTACTTAGTTTGGCCTTTAATCTTACTTAACTTGGACTGTTGCATAACTGTGTCCTGTTTATGTCCTGTTCCCGACTTTGTAGCGGGTCCCCCCATTCCCCCAACCTACTGCCAACCACATGTACCTAGTACTGTGTGCTGTTTGTGCAGAGGTTACTCACTTAGCACTTTGAGGGTCGTCAGGCATTGTGTTAGGCAGAGACCAAGGACTAGTTGCTCAAAGTCTAATAGAAGAGATGGATGAGAAGAAAATTTAAATATCAGGGTTTTAACAGAGCTGCAGACAAAAGGTTTTAGAACAGGTCAATTTTTGGCTTTTAACAGCTCTGTATTTCCCTTCAAGTTCTACTTAGTGTCCATAATTGGGATTTGATTCCGGGAAGAAAATGATTTTTGTAGTTTATCTGGCTTGTGTTAATGTAAGGCTGATGTCGCAGTGAGGGAATGTAGTAGAGGAGTCTTTATTAAACAAGTGAGGTATTCGAATGTTACCGTTGTTGTCTGAGTGAGTTAAATAGGAAGTATGATCAAGTAACCAGTCATTTTATATAAGTAAATTTTGGTGTTACTTAATCATCAAATACTGATTCAACATTTAGTTTGTGCCTGAATATTGAGAGATACAAAAGAAATGAGACACAATATCCTTCTTCAAGATCATTTGTGGAGAGATTAAAACAACAAAACACACAAAACAGAGACACGGTGGGTGGGGGGGTTGCAAACCTGAATGCCCGGAACGTCCGGGTAGGTAAGGTGAACGTGTGAAGTTGTGTTGAGTAGGAAGTGTTGAGGGCCTTCAAGGAGGTAGTTCGGTCCTATGGAGTCTCCATTTTTACCACGCCTGTCAAATTTTGTCTCCATTTGAAGGGGAGAGTTTGTTAAAAACCCTGGATGTTTCCCTGTAATGGGTATTACATTTGTTTTATTAATAAAAAGATAGTATTTATGTAGTACTCTGTACCAGGCACCATTGTAAAAATGTATATTTATACTCGGGGGAATTTATTCTCATACCCATTTTACACAGGAGGAGCCTGAGACACAGAAAGGTTATTTAAAGCTTGAGTGGTATTGCCAGGAGTTGAATGTAGGCGATAGAGTCCACATGCTCAACCACCATGCCTCACCATCTTTGGTATAGCCTAAAGGAAGAGGCTTAATCTGTTTAAATATAGGATAAGCAGGGGTTTTTTTCCATCAATAATAGGAAGATCTAATATTTTAAAATCCCAGGAACTCTTTGAGAGGCTAGAAAAAGTTTAAATCTAATTTTCTTTGATTCAGTAGAAGCCAGAGAGGTGATTCAGCATCATGAATTATATGGTTAATGTTGAGAGAAATTCTCTTTTTGAGACTATCAGCCACCCAGTGACCATCAATATGATAGGGAAGTCATTGGAAGATTCTGATGGGGTTTCCTGTGTCCCGTCGTGGCTCAGGCAGGGGCTTCATTTAGTGAGTCATCGGCATGTTAAACTAAAGCACACACCAACATTTTCTAAAGTTCCACAAATGACTCAGAAATTGTTAATGTGATGCGAAGAACAATTTATCTGTAACCCATCACTTGGAAAGGAATTTTGTGACGTCATTTAGTTTACTTGGAGAATAAAAGGAAGTATAATTTAAATTTTTTTACTTTGTGTATGTATACTTTAGTTATAATTAACTCGTTATTAATTATTTTGAATAAGCCAGTCTACATTGATTACTTCCCATGGACCCAGTTTGCAAGGAACAATCTAATTGCTTCAAGTATACGGGAGCAGCCTGGCATCAGATCAGTGAGAAGAAAATCAATACCAGATTTATTGTTCCATTTCTGGATTGGCAGGGGCAGAGATGCTGTGGTGATATTGCAGTCCATAGCTGGCATCATTCCCCTCAGGAGAAGGCGGGCTCATTACTCCCAGTGGCCTTAGGGCAGCATGTGGAACAGCTCAGTGTTCCATGGAGAGAGCCAAGTTCAATGTGGGCCGTACTTTTACTGGAGACAGAGCTCTTTGCGGCTGTCAAGACCCTTTGTTTTCCAGCAGAGGAGCAGTGACTGTCTGATTGCGTTTCAGTGCCGTCTGCGGGACATGACGTACTCTGCCCCCATCACAGTGGATATTGAGTACACCCGAGGCAGCCAGAGGATCATCCGCAATGCCTTACCCATTGGCAGGTGAGAAACGTCCCTATTGGAGCCACACAACCTGCATTCCACCCTCAAAAGATGACCTTGAGCAAGTGCTAAAGTTCTCTTTGCCCCATTTCCTCATGTGAAAAATGTGGGAAATGCTGCCTCCTTTATGGGGTTATTTTCTCAATCTCATGAGTTGGCACATGTACAGCCCTCAGCAGTATCCAGTACTTAGTTGTGGTGGTTGTTACTCTTTAACTGTGAAGTGTTTTCTGTAAAGTTAAGGAAGATGCTTCCATTTCCTCCTGTAACTCCAGGCTGTTTATTCAGAAAACATGCGGTAAGACAGCATTTAAGTGAACTCACCTGAGTGGTCTTGGTGGATTCATATATATATATATTTTAAGTTTGAGTTTTCTTGGAAGCTTAACTGTTTCCAGCATAGCATTATTTAAAGGAGAAGCTACTTACTTGCCTGGAACAAGTTCGGAATGACAGATGGCATCAGCTAGCATTTTTGCAGCCTCGTTTTCCTAATTAGGGAAATAGGCTGACTCTGCTGTAGAAGTGGATAAAGCCCACAATATTGTGAGTTTAGTAATAGTGTTGGACTTCAAATGTAGTGCAAATAATTCCTGTTTTTCCCTCTTCAAAACTGCTAAGCGCTTAATAATTCTCTCAACAAATATGTACCAACTGCCTGTCACTTGTCATACCCTCTGCTGGGTACTCAGGTAAACAGAGGATACTTAAGATGCAGTTCCTGTTGGCTGCATTCATTTCAACTGCCTGGGATGGTGGGCTTACATAACTGGCACCGTTTGGTAAGTTCTATGGTAGAGAAGTCCAGAGTACTGTGGAAACACACACGTTTAACAGATTGTTCCCCTGTACAAGTCCTAAAGGAAGGGGCTGTTTGTATTGCTTCTCTTTTTATTCTTTAGTTAGGAAAATAAGTAGGGATGTTAAAATTAATTAATCTTTGTTTTAGCACTGTTTATCAGTGTTAAGAGCTTCTCTGTTTTTTATATATGTACTACACTTGTGTCCAGTTAAATCTTGGATGGTTACTAATTATACCCAGATTAAATGTTTTAAAGGAAAGGAGCAAAACATAGTAGTCTGGTTTAGGGTTATATTCTGGTTAAAGCGAAGGCAGGGAACAGCGTTTGTATAACTAGTGTTTGTTGAATACCTGCTGTGTGCCAGCCACGGTGACAAGAGATTTTCTTTGTTAGCCCTGTGTCATAAAAATGACTTCTGTTAGAGTGCTTATGCATACCATGCACTATCTAAATTACATACATTATCTCATTGAACTTTTTTTTTTTAGCTAGAAGAATGTTAGTGTAATCCATATAATATTCATACTTGGTACACATCAAATAATACATAAGAACACTTGATACTAAGCAGTAGCCAACCTCCCTGCTTCTCCTCACCACAGTTCCATTCCCAACCTCATAACATTTCTGTTATGGTGGTTATTACATCCAAAACTAAATGCTATGCTTATACCATCATGTCTTGATACAGCAATTTCAAATACTATTTATTGATTTAGTATAGAAGATGTGGATTATGGATTAGTTCATATCACCCACTTTCTTTCTCCATTTCTCCCCATTTTGCTTATTTTTAGTCCTTTTTTTTTGATTACTGGGGTCACTATAATATTCTTACATCTTAGTATTTCGTGTTTCAATTTCCCCCTTATGTAAAATGAGGATATTTCTCTTCCTACCTTCCTATATGGTTTTTTTTTTTTAACATGAGTTACTGAGAAGACTGATTTAAAATTTTCAAATTGATATTTTGCATCTCCTTTGGGATTCCTGAACCCAATTCCAGTGTGTATGGAGGGGTGGGGGGCTGTTTTCCATGAACAACATTAAGCAATTCTTCAACACCAGCAGGGTTTAAGAGTTTAATTCAGTTCTGAGACTATCTGCCCAGAGACAGCACCAGATTCCCCGGCTTAAGGGATCTGTCCTACAAGACTGCCCTCTGCCCCGCAACTCCAGACACCAGTGTCAAGCCCCAGGCTGTTACCTGTGCTTCTAACCCACAGGCAGCAGTTTAAAGGCTCCAGCGACCTGCCCCTTGGGTTTGATTAGTTTGCTAGAGGGGCTCACAGAACTCAGGAAAAGTTATTAACAAGTTTAGCAGTTGAATAAAGGATTCAAGGTAATAGCCAGATAAAGAGGTACATAGGGCAAGGTTCCAAATAAAGAGCTGCTATCCTTGTGGAGCTTGGGAGCTGCCTGGATAGTACATAGATTTGTTCTAGTTCCCCAAGTGTGGAAGCTCTGACAGAGAAGCAGGATGCAACAGAGAGCCCCAAAATGCTCTTCTCGTGGGTATTTGTGAGGTCTTCATTGCATAGTCATGATTGATTAAATCTTTGGCCATTGGCTGATGCAGTCTCCAGCCAGCCCTTGGGTGGAGTCCAAAAGTCTCTCATTAACATAAGATACCTTTCTGGTTCAGAGGCACTTTCAGGAAGGGTGGATAAAGACTAAATATGCCTGAGAGAGAGATATTTTGGCCAACTGAATGACTAAATATATATTTCTTATAACTCATTATATCACATCAGTTTTTGCAACTTTGTAGAAATCTACTTATTTTTATAAATGTTTTCTGTGTGTTTGGAAGTAAGGGGTATTCTCTCGTTCTTTTGTGTCATTGTGTTTTTCATTTAGATCAAGCTTGTTAATTTAGATGTTAGGTGTCTTCATTGATTTTTTGTTCAGGCAATTAAGAGAGACGTGTTAAAATCTCTCACTATGATGGTGTATTTGTCCATTTCTCCTTATGTTTCTGGGTATTTTTGCTTTTTGAAGTTACATTAAATGCATAGAAGTTAAGAATAGGTCTTCCTGCTGAATTGAACCTTTTATTATGAATACATTTATCTTTATTATCTCTTGTAATTTTTTTGCCTTAAATTTTGTCTATTCTTACTAACAACATCTGCTTTCTTTTGGTTATTTTTGTGGCATAACATTTTTAAAAAGTCCTTCTCTTTTTAATTCTGTGTCCTTATGTTTTAGATGTGTTTGAAGTAAGCTGCGTATGGCTAGATTTTTTAAACATTTACCTGAGAATGTAGTCCATTTATGTTACTGATATATTTGGACATATTTCTATCTTACTTTTAATCTGTCAGCTTTTCATATATTTTTCCTCTTTCTGTCTTTTTGATTAATGGGAGATTTTTTTTTCTTACTCTCCCCCAGCTGATTTGAAAGTCATGTACAGTATCCCTGTTTGTTTATGCTTACTTTAGAATTTTTGAAATGCATACTTAACAAAGTTTGAAAATAATATATTTATTCTCCTCATGGAAATAATAAGGACCTTAGAGAGCATTAACCTGGATTAAATCAACCCTCCTCATTTAAATGCTTTTGTTGTATCAAATTTTAGTCCTGTTTTTTTAACCCATAAATTAGAAATTATTATTGTCTTATAGTAAATATTTATTTATGCTTACCCATATCATTTACCATTTTCTTTGCTCATAATATATTTTTGCAAGTCAGACTTCCATTCAACATTTATTTCTCATCTTCTGAAGTATTATTTTTTAGAAATTGTTTTCAGGAAGGTCTGTTAGTGGTTATTTCTTTCAGTTTTTGTCTGAAAGTATCCTTATATTGACCTCATCTGAATGATGAGTTAACAGAACACATGAATCTAGGTTGAGGGTTATTTTCTCTCAGCACTTTGTGCCCATGATTCCACTGTCATCAGTTAATTGCAGGTGTGAAGTTATCTGTCCACCCAGTTATCCCCTTTTTGGTAAGCTGCCTTTTCTTCTGGCTGGGCTTCAAATCTTCTCTTTGTCTTTGATGTTTTTTATCTTGACTATGATGTGTTTTAATGTGACTTTCTGTTTATTTATTCTGTGCAGATACTATTGTGAGGGTTTATGGCTTTCATGCAGTTTGAAAAGTTCACAGCCATTATCTCTTTGAATAGGATTTCTTGCCCATTCTGTAGTCTCTCCATCTGAAATCTGATTAGATGTAATGAGGCCTCTCACTCTGTCCTCCTGTGACTCTTCAACTCTCATATCTTCCTTCTCTTTCTTTCTGAAATATATCCTTAATAATTTCTTAAGATCTGTTTTATAATTCAGTAATGCTGTCTTGAGCAGTGTCAAATCTGCGATGTTATTCAGCCTCTTCACAGATTTTTAAATTAATACTTAACTTTTTCATTTCTAGAAGTTTTGCTAGTTCTTTTTCAGAATTGCCTGGTTAGTTTGATGGTCTCGTATTTCTTACACTTTGATTCATTGTGTTACCTCTGTGTAACTAACTAATAAGAGTCATTTTGTTTACCATGAATGAAAATGCTGCCATTTCTGACTTTCACTAACTCCTATCTGCAAACTTTAAGGGGACCAAACGTTTATTTGAGTTTTTGTTATCTAAACTAGAAGAGCAGTGTGCTTGAAGAAACACATCATTTCATCTGACTCTTCGGTGTAACTTAACATTTCTCTGCCTTTTCTAACATGTCGAAGGTGAATGCAGACCCCTTACAGTGTGTACAGTGCAGTTTGTATTCTTTTCACCACTTTTGCTAGTGACAATCTTTATGTGACATTTCTTCTGTTTTATTTTAACTGAATGTTTTGTTTTATTTAAACAGAATGCCCATAATGCTACGGAGTTCAAACTGTGTTCTCACAGGAAAAACACCCGCAGAGTTTGCCAAACTGAATGAATGTCCTTTAGATCCAGGTATGTACAAGACCTTGAATTTACCCCCCACCACAACCCAGCCTTTTTTGCAGGGTGTGGGGGGGATTTTTTTTTTGCTTTCACTGTTTTAACATTTTCCCTTAAAAACAATTCCAGCCTTTCTACTTTATAATGAACTTGTATAAAATTTTTTTCACAAAATGTCTGGAAATGGGGCTCCAACTTAATTCTATTAGCTTATATTTCTAAAAGATTGTACTGTATCCTCTTTTGTTTCAGGTTTAAAGCCTTAATGCCTCAAGTTCTGATTTATTTGCCATTCTTACGTCTTTTTGCTCAGTGGTTTTCTTTTAGTATGCTTAAAAATTCAGGAATAATCTCACAAAGTCACTTGTCTAGCTGGTCTGAGAAAACTCAAGTGGCTCACTTCAGGCTATTTTAAATGCAGTAAAGGGACAAAAAAATGAAAGCTTTTACATTTTTAAAAATTGTATTTTTATACCTGTTTCTAGGCAGTTTCTTTTGTAGTTTCAAGTTCAGCACTTAACAGAAAATTTCTCTTTATCCTTAACCCATATTTCACACTGATTTAACTTACAGTTGCTTTCATCTAATTCCTTGTAAGTTGTGTTGGTGAAGAATCCCATAAGGATTTGGAAAGAGGCTCCGAAAGTCCCAAAGAGGTTCTTTAACAAAGTTTGCTAGATGGTAACAGGATGTTACATAGTCAGATATATTGTCTTGTTTTCCGCTGACATTCTGAAAGTACAATGAAGTCTCACTTTTTCTTACTCTGAATTGTGTACCAAAAAATGTATGATAATGTTTGGAGTTTTATTGAGTATAGAATATTATTTGGAAATGTAATCTTAGTCTACCATTGTCAATGATATGTTAGAAAACTTAAGAGCAAATTTCAGTTTATACTGAGGATTGTCTTACTTCTATGCTTAAAGAATCTGAAGACTAATTTTTTAAAACATATTTCTTTCATTCACCTCTTATATATATTGGGTGCTGGTGATAAGATATATTCCTTGTCCTCAAAAAGTTTATCATCTTGTGGCTCATTTGTGTAAAATCATATGCTGACAGCATCATCAATTCATAGAACAGTATCAGCACACCCCATCTAATTAAGTGATGGCCAGTACAGAAAAGCAATGAAAGAGTAATGCTGAATTAAAGAGATCACAGCCATTACTGAATCACTGTTTGAAGAATAGGTGGTGAAGCTTTTCTTGTTTCCTTTGGGCAGGTGGCTACTTCATTGTTAAAGGAGTAGAAAAAGTGATTCTTATCCAAGAGCAGCTGTCTAAGAACAGGATCATTGTGGAGGCTGACAGAAAAGGGGCCGTTGGTGCTTCAGTTACCAGGTGTGGAAATCAAAGGAGATGGTGTTCTTTTTTTTTGTTTTTTGTCTTTTGAAGTATAGTTGATGTACAATATTATATTGGTCTTGGGAGTACAACATAGTGATTTGACAATTTTATATTTATTACTAAATGTTTAACACGTTACATATAATTACCATCTGCTGTCATACAAAGATATTACAATATTATTGACTATATTTCCTATGCTATATTGTATCCCTATGACCAATTTATTTTATAATTGGAATGTTGAACCTCTTTATCCCTTTCACCTCGTTCACCCGCCCCTAGGGTGTTTTTGTGATATTGTTCTTAAGAACTATTGATAATTCCATTAATATCCAATGTCTCTCTTTGGATACAGAGGTAGCAGTTATTTCTCTCTGATAACAGGCAATGAAATACTTAAACTATTTGCATTCAGTTTATCATGTAAGACTACAAGCATTGAGTATGATTTAAAATTTTCAGTGGTGAAAGTGTGAGACAGTGTGTGAAAGGCCAGTAGTTATTTTATTCTAGTTGGATTCTATGTTGATTTACAGCATTAAAGGAACTGCAAAAATACATATATAACTACTCTTCAGTTTTTCATGTTCCCTTTCAGAAAGTCTTTGATCATTTTATATATATATTCCTACATTGATATAATCAGACATTATTTTACGTAGTATTTAATGAATTATAGAATGGACTTAACATGTTATTGTTAGTTTTCTAGACTAGCCTCTTTCACAGTATACTCATTTTTCTACAATAGCATCCCTTATATCATTCCTGTAATTTCTTTTCTCTGGTTTACTATCATATATAATTTGAAATTTGTAAGTTAATGGGTTTTAGGAGTAAAAAAAATTGTAGCATAGTTAAGATGTCACTATGCAATTGAGTTTCTCTTCTGACAACCTGTCATGAACTGCTTAATTCAGAGTTTCTGCATTTTTCTTTCTGATGGAACAGCAGCTAACAATATAGCCATTTATTGAGTGGTTATTAGTAGCCAGGAGGTGTACTAGGTACTTTACATATATTATTTAGTTGTCACCTCATCCCTCCAAGGTAAGTGGTATTACCTCCATTTACAGCTGAGTAACAGGCTTTGAACTCAGGGTCACATCAATCATAAGAGGAAGTCAGCATTTGAACCCAGATCTAGTAAGTCTGCAACCCATGTCTTCCTGGTATATACAGCTTTTGCAACCAGGGAATTGGGATTTGAATCCCAAAGTTGTTGTTTACTGGATAGGACACGCTTGGGTGGGTAGTTATGTAGCTTTTCTAAGCCTTGGTTTTCTCATACCAAGTGATTTGGAGACACTAAACTAAGTATAAAGTGCATGTAGATTAGATCTAAAATAAATAGTAACAGTGTATAGTATATAGCAGGTGATTAGTATGTGTTTACTTTTGTGGTTGATTAAAGCTTGAAAATGTTTTAAAACCTATTAGGAATCTTACACTAACAGAGATACCAATAGAAGGAGATTCCTTAGCTTCTTTTGGCTTCACTGTATGCCAAGATCGTAGGTCTACTTTATTGGATTATTAATTTAAAAACTCATGGTGTATAAATTCATTTCTTCATAGTTTTCTCATTATGTTACAGGCTCATAGTCCATCTGTTAGGAAGGACTTTACTGATAGTTACTGATGGCCTGAACCTTATTGATTGATGGTCATTTTGTTGCATGTTACTAGCTTGAAACTAAGTGGAGATGAAGTTTAACCAACTTGTGTTTCCTTGTAGCTCTACCCATGAAAAAAAAAGCAGAACCAATATGGCTGTGAAACAAGGACGATTTTATCTGAGGCATAATACGTTGTCCGAAGATATACCCATTGTAATCATATTTAAGGTAAGTCTGCAGGTATCTGCCGAAAGTTATAAAGATTTCTTTTTCTGGTTTATTGTCATATATAATCAGAAATTTGAAGGATAAACAGTCCTAGAAATAGAAAGATTTCTGGCATAGATAAGTTGTCAGGCATTTAATGTATTTTAAATTGAAAGCAAATAATATCAAAATTCAGATATTTTAAAGAATCCTAATCTTATTTTTTTTATTAGATACCTTATACAAAATTCCAAATATACAAAAGGGTCCATGATCAAGAAGTAAGGCTCTCACCCCTGTGTACCTCGCGCATCTTTCTAGAGATAATCTATGCCTATACAAGCATCTTTTTTTTTTTCGCTGATATACATGGCACACCATTTTGTACTTAGTGTGTTTTCTTTTTGGTAATTTACATTTTGGAGATAGTGTTATATTAGTTCATACAGAGCTACCATATTCATTTTGGCAAACTGTTCCACTTATGAGTGTACCATAATTTATTTAACCATTCCTCCATCAATGGACATACACATGTCTTGCTATTACAGAACTGCTGTAATACCTCCCATGTTACATAGGGGCAAGGATGTCTGAAAGCTAAATTCTTAGTGGTGGAATTTTCTATGCCAAAGAGTATGTAGCAAGTTCGTTGTTTGTTATGAGCTTCTGTATTCTGGTGAATTTCTACATAAACAGGAGTCTTTAAAACTGATTTTTTTCAGCTTGTCTGTGAATTGTTAGTTTAGATCCTAAAATACATGTTCCCATAGAAATAATGTTTAAGTAGTATTGTCTTCTCAGATAATTGCATAGTGGTCCACTTAACCTGTTCCAAGACATAAAAAATTATATACACACCCCATGAACAGTTAAATTGTAGCATTAGTTATTAAGCAAACATAAATAGCTGGCATTGTGTGATACAGTTGAGCCCCTCAGTATTTGCAGATTCTGTATTTGCCAGTTCTCCTATTTGCTACAATTTATTTGTAACCCCAAAGTCATTACTTGTGATGGTCTTATATTTATTCACAGACATGCACATGTACAGGGCAGTAAAAAATTTGAGTCACTAAACTCATACATTCCCAAGTGAGATCAGAGAAGGCAACACTCTGCCTTCTTGTTTCTGCTCTCATACTATGAACAAGTGCCCTTTTTGCCATCTATTTAGTGCCATGTTTTTCACATTTTTGTGAAATGGCCCCCAAGTGTAGAGTTGAAATGTCAGCTAGTGTTTCTCAGCACAAGGCTGTGATGTGCCCAGTGGAGGAAAGTGTGTGAGATATGCATCATTCAAGCATGGATTATAGTGCTGTTGACCATGAGTTCAATGTTAGTGCATCAACTATATATGTTACATAGGTGTCTTCAACAGAAACACACATTAAACAAGGTTCTGTGTTGATCAGTTGAAGAAAATGTACCCAGACGCTCACAAGAACATAACTGTATTTCCCCTAGGAGCGATCCTTCAGTATTTGCAAATTCAGTACTGTGGCAACTTAATAGAATAGAACTATTTTGTATAATGATAATCAATTGTATATGGGTATAAAATGAATCTGGAAGAATGGGTTGATCGAAATAAAGAGCTCAGAGTATTTGAGGAATATTGAAAAGATACTGGGCACTTCAGGTTATTTTATAGGTTGATAATGTCTGTTTCTCATTATTTAGTTTCACTTCAGAGTTAAATATTTCTGTTCAACAGTTGTTAGGATAGTGGAAATATTTTGGGTGTCTTAATGTGAGAAAACGGAAGAAGAGATCCTCTGAGGTGGGATTAACTAAGTTGGTTAAAAAGGACAAAAAATATTTGGCTAAAAGCCTTGGATGAGTAAGTGAGGAGTTGAACGTGTTCTCTTGAAGTTGTAACTGGGTGACAGAGGAGGGACTCGGGGGAGGTTAGCCCTCCTCATGCCAGGCTCATGGGGCGCCAGGGAGCCTGCCCCAGCTGTTTCACAGACACTGAATGGATGTGGACGAGTCACGTTCTTTAACTCAGGAAGTATTATATGCTAAACGGAATTATGTGAAGGAGATTGTAGGAGTGTTTTTAAATGTTTAGTGTAGCTTAATTGGCTCTTAAATTGTTTAAATGAGATGGTGCCATTTATTTTCTTTTTAGAATGATGATGACACTTGTAATATCTGTTCCCATTACACTGAGGGGCCAGAGAGAATTCTTAAATATACTTTTATTACCTTTCTTCAAGGTTTATATTTTTTAAGCACATAAGTAAGTTTGACTTTTTCTGTTGGAATCCCTCAGTGGCCAACACAGTGTCTTCTGTATAGTGTTTAGTGGGTAAAGAAAATTTTGTCTAACTGCGTAAAATTACATCTCCAGCAGAGGGCAGTATGCTCCCATTCATCAAAAGGACTTCATAAAGTTTTTGATGCTTAAAGATACTTAGGACTACTTTTCTTAGACCAGAAATTATAAATTAATTATAAGGCATATACTCTTACACGCATATGGTAAATGCATCACTAGTCACATACATGCCTTAAAATCAGAAATCCTTTATAAAAAACTTTTTTTGATTAGGAGACAAAAGTTGTAAGACAGTTTCTTCTGTCAAATTTGTTTAGTATTATGTTGTAAATGTACACATATTTGTAGCTGAGTTACCACCTTTTTAGAATGAGGCTATATATTACAATGTACATTTTTTATACAATTAGTAGTTGAGATTTCACACTTCTCTCTTTCTGATTATAAAACTAGTCCTTGAATTACAAACATATAAAAAGCCACTGAAAAGTGTAACTGTTTTTTTTGGTACGTTTTATCCAGACGTTTTTTCCTTTGCTTTTGTCATATACACATTTATTTTTTCACTTAACATTGAATTGTGAATAGCTTTCCATGCTTATAAATATGAGTCTATGTCATTAGTTTTAGTATGTGTTGTATAGAAACTGCATGTGTGGTATAATCTGTGTAACCAATTTCCTATAGTGGGACATGTAGATGGTATTTTTTTTCCTCAAGTTTTCACTCTTATACTCAACCCTGTGTATCTCTGTACATCACATTCGTGCATTTTGCTGATTATTTTGTGAGAATTAATTCCTAGGGTGAAATTTTATGTATATATGTTTTAAAACTTGGTGCATGTTGCCAAATTTTTATCCCCAAAACATACCCATTACATTCTAATCAGCAGTGTATGTGAGTTAATATTTTTAAATTTTCAGCTCAAATAAGTTAACTAATTATATTGGTCACACACAGTCAATTTTTTTTTGGTCTCCCACTATAGGAATGTTTTAATAATCTGATGAAAATTTGTTTGACAATCTGTAATTAAGATTCTGCCATCTAGAAGGCAGCACAGAATATTGTATATCTTGGAATCAGATGGGTTTAGGTTGAATTTCAGCTTTTCCACTTATTAGCTATATGACTTTGGGCAGATTTTCCAGTCTCCTTGAGTCTTGGATAAGTCATCGTATAAAGGGAGAATTTCATCTAAGTGGACGCTGTAAAAGCAAATGAGATACTGTGCTGCTCAACAGTAGGCTGCCTAGGAGGAGGCTGTTTCTCTTGGTTCTCCTCACACATTTCATGTCAGAAGCCAGAGAAAATAAACTAGGATACCAGAGAAGTCACATTATTTCTCTTTTTGTGTTGTGTGGCCCTAACACAGACCTTGACAGTCATTAGGACTTGATGGTTGTTGATTTTAACTAACAATTGGCTTAAAGTGACAGAAGCAGCAGGGTTTCCAGAATCCATGCTGAGTCTGAATATGATGGGTAAAGCTTCTAAGACCTAGATCAGCCTTATTTATGGACTTGAATCCCTACAGAGGTTTTCCTGCCCATGAATCTTTCTCGCTTCACATTTTGCGTTCTCAAGTATTCAGCAGTTGCACTATGATGGCATCTGTAGTCTGAAAGTGTTTTTTTTATGGAAAAGAGGATCAGATTTCAAGGGTGGTGGGCATTGTTTCTTGGAAACCAATTTACATTGAAATTTTTGATCTTTAAAAAGAAAAGTTTGCCAAGTTAAAGAAAGCCATCACAGGTCATTAATTATCATCGAGGACTACTTTCACTAACGATTGTTTGGCTTCTGCCTACTCTAAAGAAAAATCAGAGATTTCTGAGTATTATCGATTTAAACAATTTATCCCCTTTCCGTCCTTTACATAATATATTTCAGCATACCACCATCAGCATGCATATCATTCTCATTTGCTCATTCTTCTTCTTTCTGTCTTTTAAAAGTCACACTTGTAGTCAGACTTACTGGCTATGCAAGAAGACTCATGCCACTTTTTCAAGAGCACTGCCCCTTATTTTTGTTCTGTCTCATTTTTGACTTCCAGACTGGGTGACCTTCTGCTGTAACGTATTGTCTCTGCTATTTTTTCCGTTAGGTTTTTATATAGCAATCACTTTGGCCTATTAGTTAGGTGAAATGATTTCAGATAGCTAGAGTACAAAGAGTTCCATATAAAGCTAGTGTTCAGATGTCTAAATTACGTCTGTAAAGCAAAATGGTTGGGCATTTTGCTGTCGTTTCCATAGCAATATGTCATTTATTTGTAGCTGTGACTTCCGAAGGCTAAACAGTCATAAAGTCAGTTTGGTCTTTGGAGCTGGAGTGCTTTTGATGGTAACCTGACTGAGTTATCCCCCGGTATTTCAGCGACTTGATATAGGAAGTATTTAGTCATCTTGGAGCAGAGCTTTGCCACTGATCATTCTTTCTGCACATATGGTGTCATTTACCGTGTGCTTGGCATATCTTTGCTTCCCAGCTTAGAAATATTTGGAAGCCTAAGCAGCCTATTGGATTTATAGGCCACTTGAAAATTTTATGCAATCATAAAATTACTGCTTAGATTCAGCACCAGGACAACTTGAAGTGGCAGTCCACATGCCAAATGAGGAAAGACTTTTTCATTCTTAGTAAACACCAAAATAGGCAATCAAGTATTTTACCTATTTCACCTGGAGATTACTGAACTAAATTAATTATTAAGATAGTCTAAGTGGACTTGAATTTAGATGTTAACATGCATAAAGAAAGGGGGCTGATACAGAGCTCCTGCCTTTTCAGTCCTAGGATTCTGTTTCCGTCTCAGTGAGACTTTTTCCTGCTGTATCATTTTGTGTGGTTGGTTGACATCTGTCCCATATAGATCTCAGTGTCTGTGCTTTCCTCGGGAAGTGAAGTGCATTGGTTACAAAGTTTTATATAAAAAACTTTAGAGGACGATGACTGGATTCTACTGCAGATTGGTTGCCTTATTATTGCTTTTCTTGTATTTTGATTCCATTGAAACCCATATAACATTATTTTGAGAGATTAACAAGTAAAAAATTAACTTATACTCTAATTAGCTTTTTGCAGAGCAATATTCTCTTCTGATATTTCTGACTGGTTACTTGCAGACCAAGGAGAAACTGATAGATGGTTCTAAACAGCAGATTCACCTTGGTTTGCTTGATCAAAAGATAGTCGTCTTTTACATTTGTCTAAAAATTAGAGCTGATAATTTTTTCAGGATTGCTCTCCTTTACCCATGAAAGGCTGTGTTTTAATGATTTTGTGTAATTTTTAAATGGAGTTTATGTTTAGTGCCCACTTAAATAAATGCATTGGATCAAATTAGAGTAAAAAGATAAGAAATTTTAAGTATTAAAGCAAAAGGGATTTGTCTCCTGAGAATAACTTTATTTGTGCACTAAACACAAAACTTGAACAAATGAAGTTATAAACTTAAAAAATATTTTGTTAAGTTTAAATAGTGAATTTAATTCCAAAACTTGGCCTGTTAGTTTTTGTAACAAATTATAGCACAGGTTCTCTTAGTTAGGAACGAACGTGCAAGTTGCTTGTCCGGATGGCTCTGCTCAGGGTCTTTCATGAGTCGAGATGTCAGCCGGGGCCGCAGTCATCTGGAGGTGGGTTTGGAGCTGGGCAGTCGGCTTCCATCGTGGCTCACCCACATGGCAATTAGCCTTTTGTAAGAGACCGTAGCTCCTCACCAGTGGACCTTTCCATAGACCTTTCAAGTGCCCTCGTGACATGGCCACTAGCTTCCACTCTAAAAGAAAGAGCAAGCGAGGCAGTCGTGCCTGATACGACCAGGAAGGACATACACTATTGTTCCTACATTTTTTCTGTAGAAGTGACTCATTAAGTTGGGCCTACACTCAAGGGGGGGAGAATTAGTCTTTACCTTTTGAAGAGCATGTCAAAGAATTGGTGAACATATTGAAAACCACCATAGTTGGCCTAAGAGGAACATAGCATATTTAGCTTTAAAACTTTTCAGTAAGTTTGCATCTGATCCTAAAGTATCCAAATCAAATTTATAGAATACAGACTACTAAAATTCAAATGTAGAATCGCAGACTTTTGAGCTGGAAGGGACCTCGTTGTCCCCTGTCGTTATGGAAATGAAAGACATGCAGTGGAAGGGGTGATGTGACAGTAGTGGTTATGAGGTCTGGGTTGGCACCTCAGATCTCATGACTTCAGAGAGGTGCCTTCTCCATTGTAACAGTCCTGATGTTCTGCATTGGGACTCCGGATTCAGTTTTCCCTTTCTCTCTCTCGTGAGTGGAGAACTGAGAAGCAGAGCTTCAAAGCCCAGCTGGACAGTTATCCCTGGTTCTGTTTTCTCTGCAGAGCTAAAGGAAGAATTTTAATGTAAACAGAACTCTCCCCCTAACTTCTAAGAAGCAGATTATTTCTCTGCCAAGCGGCTCAGTGAGATTATGCTCTATTCCTTGATACGGCAGAATTCCAGGCGAATGTGTGAGGGAGTGAGTCTTAGTACCATATGGAATCTACAAAGCCCTGCATTGCCTCCCACCTTGAAACACTTAAGTAGGTTTCTTAAGCCCGATAAGTGTGACCTCAGTTTTTCACAAGTCTGTTGTGAAACCTGCATAAAGTATTGCTTTGTATCTCTAGAATAGCGAGGTGAAACATCACTTAGGAAAAATTCTTTTAGCCTGAGTGAGAATAATTTGACAGTTCGCAGAAAATTTAATCTTAACAGCAAAACTTATTGGAGTTCTGTTTATTTTCAGCAATGCATGTTTTCTGATTTTTTTGTTCTCCGTTTTATTTTTTTAGCTTGTCTTCGTAATTGTGACCAGTGTCTCCACTATACTCCCCAGCCCGGCCTCCTTTTTTCATGATGAAACTCACAGGATATTTAAAAATTTTAGAAGATAGTACACACGCTGAAAATGCCAGAGAATGTTTGTTTTCCTCTTAATAAAAATTTCTGTTTCAGGTTCTTCTGCAGCTTGGGCTATGGCTGCCAATGCCAGATGGCACCATTTCTGAGAAAAGAGCTAGCTTTTGCTTAGAAGTAATACCACAAACAATGCCAAATTAGCATAAGCAAATGTCAGTGAGTTAACACAAAGCCAACACTCTTTCTATCTTTTCTTTCCTTCCTAGGCCATGGGTGTTGAGAGTGACCAGGAAATTGTGCAGATGATTGGAACAGAGGAGCACGTGATGGCTGCATTTGGGCCCAGTTTGGAAGAGTGCCAGAAAGCTCAGATTTTCACACAGATGCAGGTGTGTCTTTTCATGTTGTCCTTTTCTATGAAAGGGAATCGGAGATTGAATGCTGTTCATTGATGAAGCATTGGATGCAATGACTTTTGGGGTATAGATTTGGGAGGAATGTTGGGAAGATGGGAGGAGTGGTAGAGAACTTCTTTGACTCATTTCTTTAAGAATTGGAGGAAGGAGTTTGCCTAGACCAATTATCAGCCTATGGTGTCTAACTAACTTAAAGGAGGAACATGTGGCCAAGAGACTTTTGTTCTATATAATAGCAAGTGCTCTTTTTTCTTTATTTGCCTGAGTGATACAATTTTTAAAACTACAGCAACTGTAGTGTAGAAAGTTTTTTTTTCATGAATTTCTCCTTAATATCTCCATTCATCCCAGTTGCTTTTAGCATCCAGTTATATGTGGTCTCTGTCCCTTTTCCTGAATTCCCAGTGTTATCAGCAAGAAAAGCCCGGGATCAAAGACCCCTTTACTACTACAGAGCCTTCATTGATCTGCTTAGGCACCATTCTTAGTTGGAACCTGGGGATTTTCGGGCATGAGTCAGAGATGAAGATAGGGGACTGTATATATACTAAACATCATAAAAATAATTGCACTTCTCTTCCCATGTGAATTTTTTAGTCCCACATTTGTAAAGTGCTTTGCTAAGTGTAAATCAATGGTGACATTCCTCATAGCCATCCTGGGAGGTAGGAGTTCCCATCTCTAGAAGCACGTTTCTTCTTTATCCATATGTATGTTGTTTATTCTCTGGGTTACTTACAACAGGGTATAAATCGCAGGCTTCTTTTTTCTTGTCACCCAGGATGCTCATAGAGATAGTCTTGCCTCGCTTATATCTGTTAGTGTGTGTTCTGCAAATCAGATCAGTCTGGTTATTTTTGTAGACCAAGGCAGACATTTAGGAAGGTTAATTGTCATGTGAAAGTGTATATGATTCCAAAGCACAGATTAGTAGGGATTGTTCTCATTGCTGTCTTCCTCTTTTTCTGCAGTTAAACAGTCAATTGTAGTAATTGGGCAGGCAGCATGAGAAAAAGTTGTTAGGATTTAGGAGATTCCATTTTTGGTCTTTATTGAAAGTGAAATCTTTAAGTGAGCATGAATCTTTGTTACAAACTGAAATTACACTGTTCAGGAGTTCCAAGAAAATGGAGAGAAAATGTTAAGAAATACCCAGGATTTGGCTCAGTATTGGAAACTCTATCCTTTAAAGCTGTACAATGCCCTGGAAGAGCAATTTGCTTTAGGAATACACCAGTGGATTCAGTGAGGTCCACTACTGATTTTACTAAAAATATCATCATTGTTGGTCAGATAACCCTAGCATCGTAAAGCTTTTTTTGAGCAGGGACTAAATAGTGTGTTGGAAATCATTCATTTATTTCTCTTACATAGCTACTGACAGAAAATTGTAGCTAATTGAATTAGAGAAGTTCCGTTAAAAGATGAGGAGAACATGTAATTAGTTAAAAAGACAAATGTTCCTCACATGAGAGAGACAGACAGGAAGTATAAATTCTCCTTGTACTCTGTAAGCTGGATTAAAATGTAGATTAATTATTTGCAACTAATAAACGGTTACAGTGGCACATGTAATCCAAAACAGTTGATGAATTGAACATATGAGTCAGTTTATGTTATTCTAAATGAAAATGTAGCTAGTACACTTTATCTTATGTAGTAACACTTTTGATGACATGGCACTTGAGTGGGTTGCTTAAAACCTTCGTTTATTTTTTTAATGCCTCCCTTTTTAGTTTCTCCTTCATTTCTTTTGCTCACAGAGCCTTTTTGCCGCATATTGGTCATGGACATTTTGCATCATCATTGCCAGTGGCTCTGGTATATAGCAAATAAATTACCTATTACCTTTTCTGGGGGGATGGGGTGGACTAGGGGTGTCATCTTGGCCTATTTAGGAACAGATTGGCCTCTTGCATCAACCTTCACGCTGTGAAACCCTGGCAACAGTATTCTAGGCAAAAGGTGACTTTCTGCTACATCACAAGGGACATTAGCCTCCCCTGTGCTCCTCTGGTTCTTCCTCAAAGTGAAGAATCTTGAGCCTCTTTCCCAAGGGAACCACAAGAACAAAATCTAAAGAAGACAGCTCAGGTTAGGAAGAACTGAACTGCCCATCTGTTCGAGGTTCCCACCAACTACCGACTTGCTTTTTAAATCAGTTGTTTAGCTACTACTTGATGCGAGGCTCTTGCAACAAGTGTTTTCAGAGTCTTAGTTTATCTTATGCTGTGAAGGCCTTTTAACAGGGAAGATCCTAAATTTGATATGCAAGTCTTATCACAGAGGAGTTCCATTTAGTTCCAGGCACTATACTAGTCATTGGAAGTCAAAGAAAAAGGTTACCTGACATCTAGTAGGAGAGACATGCATGTAAGTAGACAAAATATAGTGTGACCTGAACAGGAATGAAAGTACTCAGTTCTTTATACATAATGCATTTACTATAGCATTATAAAAAACCTCCAACTTTCTTTTCTCAAGATTGTTTTAGCTTCTCCTGGTATTTTGCATTTCCATGTAACTTTTAGAAATTTTTGATTTTTAAAAAGCCTGCCAGCAGAATAATTAGCAATTATGATGTATCGTAGGTCAGTTTGGAGAGAATCTTAACAGTAAGCCATCTTACTATTAAATATTCCAGGCCATGAAAATGGCATGACTGTTAATTTATATTTAGGTTTTGTTTTATCTCAACGATGTTTCATAGCACTCAGGATGTAGGTCTTGTGGGGTCTGATTCCCTTTTTTTTTTTTTTTTTT